AAAAATTTTAAAAAAAAAGAAAAACCCCCCCCCGCAAAAAAAAAAAAAAAAAAAAAAAAAAAAAAATGATTTCTTACCTGCAGAATTACTGACGACCTGGTGCGTAACCGGCTCTGAAGGGCCGTCTACACGGGAGATGCTGCAGAACGGTGGGCGCTTTTCAGCCTCATCAGACGGCCGTCAATCGACACAAACGGACTCGAAGTGAAAGTAAAGCATGCCTCCATCAAATTGTGCCAGTTGCATTCAAAAAAGATACCCATAGCGAGAAGGAACGGCAGTGTTTTTCAGCATCCACCTCCTCCCCTCAGCATCCACTGCGTTATGAGGGCCAAACCCTACCCAGCCCTGCTGCCCTTGGATCCGCAGCACTACGGGCAATCTTCGCGCATTTTCGTTGCTGAGTGGCAGCGGGGAGGGCTAATAGAGGACAGCTGAACGCTGGGAAGAAGCCAATAGGAGAAGCCTGCTTTCCTTGTTGCTAAGGCTGGCTTAATAATAACAGAATGCTTGTAGACAGAGACAGAACCTGCTGAGATGGTCCCATTTTATCATCTGAGCAGTGGGATGCATGAGCATACATGACATAAGTGAGCCTCTGTTAAAATTTGCAGCTGCTATCAAACCCCCATAAACGCGTCATCATGTTGTGCATGAAAGAGTCACTGCAGTTGCTGCATCACAGAGGGCACATATGACCTCCAAGCTGATACATGAAATTAGAGCAACACACACAGTTGTGTGATGTATATTGGCCTTCAGCCTCCTTTACTCTGACACTGAAATAAAATCCAGTGCAACCAAATGCCTCCAGGATTGAGTTTGTAAATAGAAATGGATGCATGTGTACATCCATTTCACACAGCTTTTCTGTGAGGGCCTGAGAGGTTTATTAGAGAATGAGGAGCCAGTAAGCAGCTTTCTCTGCAGAGAAGCTGTAATTCTACCAATTCTATGGATGTCCACCTAAAATGGCAAATTGGGTAAGAAGAGCAGGAAAAAGGCTTTCTCAAGAGCCCATACAATGGGACAATATTAGTTGTAAGCTTATCTGGCCTTTATGAAGGATTTCATTCAACATTGTCGAATGAAATTCGAAAGAGTGGGTGGCAATCATCGAAGAAGGTGCTCTAGTCAGATAAGGCCAAAACTGAACCTCATGGCTTATAGGTGAAACGCTACAGTATGTAAGAAGAAAACTGACACTGAACACTTCTCTGCACACATCCACAGTGAAACATGGTAGTATGGTAGATGAAGGCCATCATGCTGTGGGAACAGGGAAGCGCACAGTAAGACCCTTTTTCCTCTTAACAAAAAAAAAAAAAAAAAAAAAA